TAAGGTTTTTTTAGTATGCCTCTCCAGTTTTCTGTTTAGAGAAATGGTCCCTAAAAAATGTTAGTCAACATTTTAGTCAATAAGTACTTATTTTTATTTTATGCTGCTAATGACTATAATTACATGCAACCAGCAAGTATTTGTAGACTCTACATAGAAGTTACATTTTGCTAACATTTCTAAATATAGATTGAGGAACTAAAATCTGAAATGCTCCAAAATCTGAAACTTGGAGCACTGACATAATACTCAAAGGAAGTGCTTATTGGAGCATTAGGGTTTTGGATTTTTGTTTTGGGGATATTCAACCAGTTATGTATTCTTCACATATTCCAAAGTCTAAAAAAGCCCTGAAATCCAAAATACATCAGGTACCAAGCATTTCAGATAAGGGATACTTAGCTAGTATGTGCTAAGAAAATACTTACTTGTTTGGTAATATACAATAACCAAACTTTATTTTTGTTTCTCTTACTAAAGTTTGAAAACAGCTTTTAGGCACTTTATCTCAAAGTGAAAAAGAAAAAGCAGGCTGCCTCTCGGAGAAGGCCCTTGTCCTTCGTACTAGAGTTAGCATGCTCTGCCTCTCACTGTTTGCTTATAGACGAAGCTTTGTTTCAGAACTGAATTCTCTAGTAGCTGCATAATGATTTACATTACTATCCTCAGGACTTGGTGTCTTATCATCCCCCTACTACCTTCTCTGGCCTCAAAGTAAGCACATTTTCTGGCTTAATTATTTTTGTTTACAAAATTAGCAGTATGCAAATTGATAGAGAAATTTTTATCTCCAGTTACAGAAATCTATGCATATGTTTCTGTATTCTGAGACGGTAATGCACCTTCTGATGAGCTTACCATTGCCTTTGCACGGTAGCTGTTCATTTGGATGGCACCTCCCTTTTATATTTAAAGATTTTCTTCTCAAATGTAGTACAATGATAAACTATTTGAGCAACTGATGAATTTTTCTGTAAATGAAATCCTCTAGATTTTGCTCACCTATCACAATGAAGGGCCTCAAGAACAGCAGAGTGTATGCCTTTAACTGTGCAAGCAAACTTGAATCAGGGTGTCCTGCCAGGCTTTAGTGCACCTCTCCCCACCACTCCTCTCAGGAGCCCTCCCTATGCACCTTTTATAGTGACCAGTCCTAGAACACATTGCAGGCTGCACCTGCTGGTGCACCCTCCTGCAAAAAAAAGGGTCAGAACCAATTCATTGCCCACTCTGATAACTCAATCTCTAAATCTGTTTTTCAACCTTTTTTTCTTTTAATCTTAAACCTATAGTTAAGCTTCCACAGCACACTAAATAATGTTGATCCAAAAAAAAAAAAAGAACACTTATTGTCCTTTGAACTTATTTTGAAAATAATTTAATTAATGGTCTTTAAATTTTTTTGTAGCACAACTAAGCTCTCATAGCACACAAGTGTGTGTGCTACAGCACATGGGTTGAAAATCCCTGCTCTAGACTCAGCGCCTGTAGCACAGTGGTTACAGTACCAGTCACATACACCAAGGCTGGCGGGTTCAAACCCTGCCCGGGCCAACTAAACAACAATGACAACTACAACAAAAAAAATAGCTGCGCATTGTGGCATGCACCTGTAATCCCAGCTACTTGGGAGGCGGAGGCAAGAGGATCACTTAAGCCCAAGAGTTTGAGGTTGCTGTGAGGCTATGACAACCGTCTACCCAGGACAACACAGTGAGACTCTGTCTCAAAAAAAGAAAAGAAAATTCCCTGCTCTAAATAAATGATAATTCTGATATTGACAGTGTTATCAAACTCCTGGTCTCAAGCAGTCCTCCTGCCTTAGCCTCCTAAAGTACTAGGATTACAGATGGGAGCCACACTGCTCAGCAATATATAGACAGTGTTACAAAAGACCAAAGACCAAGCCTACCTATAATTTTTTTTTTTTTTTTTTGAGACAGAGTCTCATCTGGTCACCCTAGGTAGAGTGTCATGGTGTCTCAGCTCACAGCAACCTCAAACTTTTGGGCTCAAGCAATTTTCTTGCCTCAGCCTCCCAAGTAGCAGGAACTATAGGCACCCGCTACAGTGCCTGGCTATTTTTAGAGATGGGGTCTCGCTCTTGTTCAGGCTGGTTTTGAACCCCTGAGCTCAGGTAATCCACCCGCTTTGGCCTCCCAGAGTACTAGGATTACAAGCATGAGCTACTGTGCCTGGCCAGGCCTATAATTTGGTAAAACTGTTTTCAGATCCATCTATTGATATGACAGTGCGATATAATGTCCAAAATGCATGGTAACATTTAAACACATTTTTTTCTGGTACTATGTAGAGTCTTAACATGTCAAATTAGGAAGAATTTCACGTTTTTAGAAATTCGGCCCAAACCTCTTACCAAGGCCATTGAGGAAGTACAGCCCAGGGGAGGAGGAAGGAGAAGTTGTCCATGTAGCCACTATTCAAATACCTATGTGAGACAGTTCAGAATTTCTAGGCTGAATGAATTATATAGAATTTGTGGCAGTAACTAGGTAGACCATATTGTCTATTGAGGACTGTCTCAATATGCATATTATCTTGACATTTTAAGATAGTACTTTACCTCTAAACAAGCATGATTTTATGTTATAATAGATTTGTAAATACATGATAAAAATTTTAATTTCCAAGCATAAAAAATTGATTTTTCAAAAGTTATATAAGTTTTCCATCTCCCTGAAATCATCTTTCTTCTTTCTTTCCCCCAGTGAATTCCTACTCATCCACCAAGACTCAACTTTCATTTTTTATATTTGTCTTTTTCTGTTATAGTGTGGTCAGAGCTTCTTTCTAGGCAAAGGGTAATGCCTGAAATTCAGCAAACTAGGAAAAGGATGTCAGATCATTAGAGTTGTTTTTAATAATTAATGGGTATCTCAGAACTTTTTTATTACAGAACGTTTCATTGGCCATCACTCCTCAGTCTGAGGAAGAGCATCAGATCCCAGGCTGTTAGTGAGGAGGTGACATACCCAAGGCTAATTGGAATTGCTGCAAACACCAGTTTAGCACCCAGAATTCTGGTATTGGGGTATCCCTACCACAGGCATTGTTCTCTCATCCTATTCTTAGGCCATTGCATATGGAAACCCAGCAGTGCAACAGCATCAGGAATGAGGATAATTAACTTAAGAATATGGAATTTGAACAGCAGCTATTCATATACCCTTGACCAAAGAGTAGTCCTCCTCTGTTGGGGAAGGTCATCCTCTTCAACCAAGTAGCTTCAGGAGGGACAGACACAGAGTGAAGTGGGAGGAAGGGGACACCTGCCTAGCCAGCCAGATCCAATGAACCAATCCTGGCCATCACTGGGGTGACAGATATTGCAGCCAGATGGCCCTCACATCTTCTTCATCAGTCTTCTCTTGAGCATTCTAACCAAGTAGCCTAAAGATAGGGTTGAGTCTGTCCATTTTTGTAAAGTAAAATACCATTGGGATTCATAATTTGTTAGAATTTAATAAAAATTATTTCCAAAGACTGGGAATCCTGGGGTAGCAAAGCAATCAATCAAGTTAACCATTTCATCTTAAAAGATGGTGGACTTTGAGCACCTTAGCCATCCTTCAATGCCAAAATTTTGATTTTTTTTCACATCACATCTGTATTTTCACATTTAATTAATCATTTTGTAGAACTGTAATTAAAGCCACATTTGCCATGATAATGTGCAGTTACCTGAGGTCATTTTGCTCTGAAGCCAGTAATATAAAACTTTCATTTCCAATGTGTTCCTAATTTGATTCTAGTAACAGCAGCAAGCAGTAGTATTTAAAATATAAGCACATCAAATTCCACACAAACAATGAACCACGAAATTTTTTAAAACTCAAGTGTCCTTTACACTAGCTACCTTAGAAGTAGTAGTTCTTTCTCACCATGTTATTATGTTAAGCATTTTTGGAATTTACCCTTTGTAGTTACCTTCAACGTAATTAAGATCCATTTATAAGCCATACCAAAAAAAAAAAAAAAATCAATCTTCTTGGTTTAAAATCCTATCTAGGTTGAAAGACAAAACTAGCATTGCCCCCCTGGGTCTCTTTCTTTATAAACCAGATTTGGCTTTACTGACTTTGGACTCTAAAATTATGAATACTTCCCTTTTCATTCAGCTGTCGCTGCTAGGTGAGAACATGCCAGAGGGGCAGAGCCAGGACAGCTTGGTTGGAATGTCTAATCCCTCAGGGCGAACACTGACAGAGACAGTGGGTTTTCTAATAAGCACATATTTTTAATGTGCTTAGAATAGTTTTCTTTCCTTCATCTTCACTCCTTTCAATCAAGGGAAAATTATAAATTTTCATTTTTCAGGCTAGTTTCTGTTTCAATTTCACTTTTTAGAAATGCAACAATAAGAGTGAATGTAGTCATCCTTTTAAGCTACAAAGATTTGATAGACATTGTACTAGACTGTGATGTAGAATAACTGATTCTTGTTATGCTTTTTTTCTGTAGTCTGGCTCCTTAGACACCAATCACTGAACCTGTAGTGATTACAAACCCGATAGAACCTCATGTTTTGAACAGAAAAGGAAGAGACACCAAATTGCAGTATTTGCTTGGGGCAGGGGTCAGAGGGCTGAGATGTAGATCACATCTGCATCTTACCCATGGCTCTTTAGGAATGATCAGGGAACTGTGAGCATAGCATTATTTTTGCTGTGTCTGTCCCAACCTCAACCCAGTTATTCTCATTTAGAAAACTCCTCTGGCTCCAGGGATTCTTCTCCTGCCTCCATGTGATAGACGAATTGGGTCAGAACACCCTTTCAGGGATGAAGTTCTTAATCCACAGTGAGCTGCAGGTGTTTCCAAGGATGAAGCAGAGTTCCAGACCACATTCACAGTGGAGGTGCTGGGCCACTCAGTTCACTTTCTGGATAATGTTCATTCTTCCATTAATGTAACAAGAGGTACAATAACTTCTGGCATGATCTTCTGACCTATATCCATTATGAACAACAGTGACTGACTCAGACAGTTACAGGACAGGATATGATTCGGTCTTCTAACATCACACTGATTATCAGGAATATGAAGTAAAGGAGAAACATTGTGAAGCCCAGGATCTTGTTCATTCTCCATTTACATGATGCAATTGAAGAGATCACAAACAGAAGCATGAGAAAAAGCAAAACAATTGCACAGAACAAGCCATTGCTGCTGACTGGAACAGGCTGTAATTTATTGATAAGAGAGAAAAGCAGCCAAGGGACAGGCAAGCTGCAAGATTGAGGAAACAATGTGAATATTCTTAATGTTTATAATAATTCCATGTACTCAAATAGCATTTCAAAATTTACAAAGCACTTGTTTTTCCACTCATAAAAACCTCTTAAGTAGAGGAGACATTATTCAGCCCATTTCACAGATGAGGAGGCTAAGCTTCAGAGAAATTAAATTACTTGCCCAGTACTCACAGCTACTAATTAGAAGACTTTAGATTAAAAATAAAGTGTTTTGAGTCTGAGCTTTTTTATTTTCTGCATACTTCATACCCAAGTTAGTTGATGTATACTCTTAAATCTCTAAATTTTGATGATAAGGGCTACCACCAAGTAAGATTTCTTTAAATTCTTTCTTTTTTTTTTTTTTTTTTTGAGATAGTCTCACTTTGTCACCCTTGGTAGAGTGCCATGGCATCACAGCTCACAGCAACCTCAAACTCCAGGGCTTGAGTGATTCTCTTGCCTCAGCCTCCCACGTAGCTGGGACTATAGGCACCCACCACAGTGCCCAGCTATTTTTTGAGAGAGGTGTCACTCTGGCTCAGGCTGGTCTAAAACAATCCACCCACCTTGATCTCCCTAGTGCTGGGATTACAGGTGTGAGCCACCTGGCCCAGCCTTCTTTAAAATCTTTAGTGCTGGTAATAGAATGAAATGAACCTCAGTTTTCAATTTATCTATAAATTTATCTGTAAATTCCACTCAATTACATTTCAGGCAGCACTTTAGTTCTATTATCCCATCTGGATGTGATGAACGAAGGGAGGATATGTTATAGCCTTATAGAAACTAACAATGTAAATGCCCTTTGATTCCATGTGTAATGAATAAAGCAGAAAACCAGCAAACAGAGCCAATGCACTGTTTACCAGTCATACCTAATATACCTTTGAAAGTAACATCACTACTCACCCCACAGTGATATCAAATATGTTACTGCCCACAGAGCTTGACACAGCCATGTCTCCCAGGCCTTTCCGAGCGACAATCACACTGGTGATGAGGTCAGGAATTGACGTGCCTGCTGCTAGGATTGTCAAACCCATAATCTCTTCAGAAATCCCTATTGTTTCACCAACCTGGTAAATAGCAACAGTCGTAAGAAACCATGGCAACAACAGGTAAAAAACCCTGAGATTCTTCAAAGCACCAACCATGTACTACTACTTCATGCAAACAGAACACCTTCTGAGGAGCTGACACAGTCCCTCAGCCTGAGTGAGGGAGGGTGATGGTGGAACTGACAGCTGGGGGTATGACCACAGAAAGAGCAAGGCAACTGCTGCACCCTCTACCTCCCCACAAGAACTGCCCTGCCGGCTCGGCGCCTATAGCTCAACCGGCTAAGGCGCCAGCCACGTACACCTAAGGTGGCGGGTTCGAATCCCCAGCCCGGACCCGCCAAAACAACAATGACGGCTACAACCAAAAAAAAATAGCCAGGCGTTGTGGCGGGCGCCTGTGGTCCCAGCTACTTGGGAGGCGGAGGCAGGAGACTCGCTTGAGCCCAGGAGTTGGAGGTTGCTGTGAGCTGTAATGCCACGGCACTCTGCCCAGGGGGACAGCTTGAGGCTCTGTCTCAAAAAAAAAAAAAGAACTGCCCTGCCAAAGATCTGCTCATGTCACTATTTCCATTTCCAGAAACATGGACAACTGCTGTGTGCCAGGAACTAAGGTGAAGGCAGAGATGGAAATAAGAGCAGTACAACAGACCATGTTCTTAGCCTAGTGAGAGGGAAAACCTGGTGAACAACAATTGCAGCTCTGTGCAAAGTTCAATGTTCTAGGCAGAACAGAAAAGCCCTGGGCACTCAGAGGAAGGCTTGACTAAATGCCATGCGCTAGCTGTCAGGATTTCTCCAGGTGAGAGTGGTGGACCGCATGGCCGAGAAAGCAGAGAATAAGCTAATAAGATGCTGTCAGCTTGCTGTAATCAAGATGTGAAGGGCTGTCTATGTCATGCTGCTGCAGTATAAGACAGAAAAGTCACACTTGACAAGCACTACACTCACTGGAAAAGTCTACACACAGCATAGAAACTGCACAAATTTCCTTGATCCTTGACAGTCTCTAGGTACTGAAAATTTATCCTGAATGAAAAAAAGTGTCCTTGGGACCTGCTGGTGGAGAATTTAGTTCCTGCTGTTCACTTACCTGGTGAGCCCACCATACCATGAGGTATGAGAACATGGCTATCCATATGATGGATCCCAGGAAGGTGATAACGAAAAACTTCCTAGACTCCTGTTTGAAAGTTTGAAAAAGGAAGAGAAATAAGTTGCAGAGGCTAATGGTCTTCGGCCCTTCTGAGGAAGCCCCAGAATCAGTGACAAGGTCTGATTGAAGAGTGGTGGTGAGGACCTGGAGATACTTGAGCTGAGGGCTGTCTCTCCAGTAAGGACCTTGAGATGGATGGAAAAGGATGGAGCAGAGGGGACGCCTGCAGGGGAGTCTAACCAGTGGGGTGTTCAGTAGTCACCAGACAGAAGAGAGCTATTTGCTTGCCCTAGAACCAGACCAATCTAATAACTTGTTTGACTTTTGCAATCTGCCAGGTCCTACTCCTTTCTGGACCCAGAGACATAATATAGACTACTTTTGGATGGAGTACCTTAGACTTTTCCCTACAATAGGATAGTTGGGTAGAAATAGTAGTCATCTCCCTGGATTTTGAGATACTCTACTGAAATAAGAAAGAGGTATAGTGGCATCATTCCCAAATTAAAATTAAGAAACTTAGCTAGGAGTCAAGGAGGAACTAGTTTATGCTGTTTTTGTGGTAGAAATAAGCCACATTTGAGGTCTAGGGCCCCCTAACCCCAGTGGTATGTCCCCTAGTCACATGGTCCTCTCCAAAGCCATGCCCCTTTCCCAGATCTCTCTGGTGGGGGCTTGGGTTTCCCTGCCCTCTCCTGTCTTTGGAATGTGAGCCCTGGGAGCCTAGAGACCCCACATCCTTCCTGGGAATAGAAAGCCTGAGATACAGCTGGGCACACTCACCTGCCTCCGGACATCGGGCACTGTCAGCCACAGTGGGAACACAATGGGCAGGAGGAAGAGATAAATGGCCTGCTTCTGCCTGGTCTCAGGCCAGTCCAAGGACAGAGGCTCCTCATTTCCCCCCTCTTCCTCTTCCTCTTCATCTTCATCCTCATCCTCCTCTTCTTCCTCTTCCTCTTCACTATCACCTCCATCACTTCCACCTTCACCATCACCTTTCTCATTATTTTTGGCTTCATCTTGATTTTCAGCATTGCATTTCTGGTCTTCAGTTTCATCTTCAGCATCTATTATTTCACCATTTTCTCCTGCTTGGATTTCTCCTTCACTTTCCTTTTCTCCTTTTCCTTCTGCTTCAGTTTCACCTCCAAGTTCATCTCCTTTTCCTTCTGCTTCAGACTCACCTTCATCTCCTTTTCCTTCTGCTTCAGACTCACCTTCAAGTTCATCTCCTTTTCCTTCTGCTTCAGACTCACCTTCAAGTTCATCTCCTTTTCCTTCTTCTACTTCAATTTCACCTTCACTTTTATCAACACCTTTTCCTTCTGCTTCAATTTCACCTCCATGTTCATCTTCTTTTCCTTCTTCTGCTTCAATCTCACCTTCACTTTCATTGACTCCTTTTCCTTCTGCTTCAGTTTCACCTTCATGTTCATCTTCTTTTCCTTCTTCTGCTTCAGATTCACCTTCACTTTCATTGACTCCTTTTCCTTCTGCTTCAATTACACCTTCACATTCATTTTCTTTTCCTTCTTCTACTTCAATTTCACCTTCACTTTTATCAACTCCTTTTCCTTCTGCTTCAATTTCACCTTCATGTTCATCTTTTCCTTTTCCTTCTGCTTCACTTTCACCTTCATGTTCATCTTCTTTTCCTTCTTCTGCTTCAATCTCACCTTCACTTTCATTGACTCCTTTTCCTTCTGCTGCAATTACACCTTCACATTCATCTTCTTTTCCTTCTTCTACTTCAATTTCACCTTCACTTTTATCAACACCTTTTCCTTCTGCTTCAATTTCACCTTCATGTTCATCTCCTTTCCCTTCTGTCTTAATTTCACTGTCACCTGGCTGAATTTCTTCTCCACCTTTCTCTCCAATTTCACCTTCACAAAGAGTTTCACCCTCTTCACCTGTCATTTCACCTGGATTCTCAGCTCCTGCCTCATCTCCCTGAAATCCAAAGCCAATACATTAATGCATGGTAACTGTTCTGTTTGATTTCCTTCGTAGTTTCTCCTCTACTTCTTTTGTTGATCTTCTCAGAATATATTTAAAAACCTAACTATGAAAAGAAACCTAACGAGAAATCATTCAGAAAAATTCTCAGTACAATATTCCTACCCAATGGTTGTCCAGCTTTTGTTTGATCATTTCCTGGGATACAGAACTCACCACCAAAAGCAGCTTCTGTCATCTTTGACACCTCTGATTGAAGACCATATTTATATCAAAGTTCTACATACATACATATACACACACAGACACACACACACACAGACACACCCATGTACAAGTTTACTCTTTGGTGCCATATAGAAAAAGTCCAATTACTCTTCCATGGGACAGCTCTCTTCCTGGGTTAAAGTTTCCCAGATCCTTCTGTCATTTCCCCATCCTATAGCCTAGAGCCTCCTCCCTATGTTGGTGAACTCACTCCAATTGGCTTATGTCCCATGAGGAGAGGATGCAAAACTGAACACAGAACACTGCCAAGTGAACAGAACTACCACCTCCCCTGTCTTAGATACCATTCTTCTATTAATGTTGCCTAACATGGCATGACATCCTTTGATGTTCACAACACATTGCTGAGTCTACTAAAACGCCTAAATCGTTTTATTACTTGATACGTACAAAATAATGATAATGCCTATTTACTGAGGGTTTTATGTGCAAGGCACCATGATAAATGGTTTAATAATAATATTTACTGTGTTTCATGAGTCAATTCATTATAGATATAGAATTATGGCCATTTTACAGATGGAGAAACTTGAGTAAAAAGGAGCTAAATAACTTGCCCATTGTCTGTATGGTTTGTAAGTGATGAAGGTGGGCTTTGAATATGGATAGTCCATCATGGTACCCTGCTTTACAAGTGCCAAGACTGAATGAGATCTTGGCTTCCAAACCTTGTAGTCTGAAGAGCTTATTATAAATATAAGACTTCCCAGCCCCACCTGGATCAGTTAAATTAGAATCTCTGAGATTAGAAGCTAGGAGTTTATACTTTAGCATGCTCACAAGTGCTCCTAATACATACATCTGTAGACCAGTGTTTGGGAACCAGAGACTGTCTCCATGCACTCTAAAAGCCATTGAAACTGGGCACAGTGGTGTGTGTCTATAATCCCAGCCTCTTAGGGGGCAGATGCCTGAATATTCCTTGAGTCCTAGAGTTTGAGGTGAGTAGCCGTTGCAATCCACCCTGGGCAACATAGTAAGACCTCATCTCTCCAAAAAAATTTTTAATATTTTTTTTAAAAAGCCATTAATTCTGAGGGTCCTCACATTAGTTACCCAACTAACCTGTAACAACATTCTGGCCCAGTCCCTTAAGTAAATGACCTGGGCTATGTGCTTATGGAGCAAACATGTTGTCTATAACTAATGTCATGATACTGGCAACCCCCAAAGGATGTTCAGTGATTCTCACCTCTGTTATGTATTTAAATCGCCTTGAGGCTTTAAAAATCATTGATGCCCAAAGACTTACCCCAAATATTCTGATTTAATTGATAGAGGGCGAGGTTGGGCCATTCTTAAAAACTTCCCCAAATTATTCTAGTATGCAACCAGGGTTGAGAAACCCCAATGAAGAAATTAAATAGTATCTGGTCAGTCCTATGTGAACTTGGAATGAAGAATGAGTAGATTTTGGTCTAAAATAGCTCCCTATCCCCACCACCCTTCATCAGATGGAGAATGCTTCCTGGTGAAGATAACAAGTCATTTAAATCAATAGGTATGGGAATATCTGCCCAGCCTGCAGCCTCTTCTCTGAGGGCTGTCACCCTCAAAAGACACCCCCAACGGGTGCCTTCTTCCATGTTGGAGTCAAGTCAACTGGCCACAGCTGATTGGACACAAGCTGGATCCCTGACACATAGGTAGGTTGAACAGATTCTCTAAGACTGGGAACATCACTAGTTGACCTCCCTGTGAGTAAGGTGGTGGTTTAGAGTTATGTGTGTCAATAAGGAAATAAATGAAGCCAGGCTGCTAAGAGAGGCTAAGTGATAGAAAAGAAACAGAAAAGAGGAAGTGGAGTGAGAAGTTACTCAGATGCCTTCTCAGGCCTATGTCCAGCTCCTCATGAGACCAAGCTTCCTGCCCTGGGATTCTAGGGGATACCTCTGTATCCTCTTAATTTCTTTTATTTGAGCAGTCTATGATGGACCAACTCAGGTCACTCATAATATCAGGAAGATGTCTTAGGCACTGAACCCAAAGTTGCTGGCCTAAGAATGACATATAATAGAGTGCGTCTGGGTACTGAATATAAAAAACAAAGAGGGATGGAACTTGCAGACTAAATGTGTATTTACTGTCAGTCACTCAACCTAACTGGAGCACAGCTGTGCCCCAAGCCTTGTTTCCCTTTATGGGGGAGACAGAGGTGACTGAGACCTGGCTCCTGCCTTCAGGAACCTCGTCATCTTATAGGGAAACTAAGGCTCAGAATATAGGGAAGGCAGTGAGAGCACTGAGACAGGTGCAAGTTACCATAAGCATTCAGATCTGGGTGCATCAAGGATGCTACATGACATGGGAAGTATTTACACTGGGCTGGAGAGGTGGGTAAGGTGAGGAAATATGAAGATGGAGAGAAAAGGGCATTCTAGGGAGAGGAAACCATAGGAGCCAAGGCCTGGGGGTAAGACACCTAGTTTGGCTGGAGCATGGTGGAAGAAAAGACTATGAGGCAGTGTCAGGACTCAGAAGGTTCTGCAGACAAGGCTGAAGTGACTGACCAGGAAATGCCTTTAACCAGCAAACCCTTCCACCTACATTTTAAACTGCCTGGTGCTCTAGAGCTGCCTGGTCTCATTGTCCCCTGGTTGCTAAGGACAGACCCACTAAAAATTATTCCTTACGTTCTTGTAGCATGTTACAGTTCCAAATACATTCTCAATATATTGGGTCATTCATACTAAGATGTTACAGTGAATTAACTGGTCTCATGAGGTATTTGTATTTTTAAAGTGATCTTCAGAGAAAGATCAGTGCTCATGCCAGAGAAATGAACTTCAAATGGGACTTTAGACCTTCAGGGAGGCAGTCTTTTTGGCCAGCAAGTCCTACCCTGGGCCTCTCAAATTTCTGCACCTGTGCAGAGGCTGGGTGCCTACCTGACCAGCCGGATCTTCCTCCTGATCTCCCTCGACGTCTGGAGCAGGGGCTGGTGTGACCATGACCGCAGGGAGCTCAGCTGGCTCCTCTTTAAAGGACAAACATGGATTAGATCAGAAGAGCAGACTGGGTTCTAAGGGAAGCTGACAGATACTGGTGTGAATGGCTATAGGGATATCGGATTTCAGGGTCTCAGAAGCTTTATTTTGGCAGAATTTCTTGTTGGTGGAAAAGTAAGATAATGAGATGTAATTGTAGTTATTGCTGTGTCCACTGAGATATCTGCAGATGAGAGGACAGCTGGGAAGTGGCCATCCTTGCACCCGTGTATTCACAGACATTGATACTGTGAACAGCTTGGGCAAATGGAGTAGAGAGAGTGCAAAGCTCCTAGCACTCAACGTCTGACCCTTTGGAAAGGATCCTGCTATTTCAAAGGCAGCAGCTATGGAGCTTTCAAATAGGATTGAGGGGAAAAGAGACTTGGAAAGCCTGGAGAGCTAGGTGTAGGTATAGGCTCTCTCACTTCTTGGCTGTGTGATTTCAGGCAAGTCACTTGACCTCTCTGAGCCTCAGTTTCTTTTTCTGTAGGGTAGGAAGAATGTCTGCTGATCTACCTCCCTCCCTGGGTGGATCAGGGAAGCCTGATGTGCTGTTCAAAACCCATATGGCAGGAGCTGTCCCACTCTCCCAATCCTAGCTGCCACACAGATACTGGACTTCTGTGACACCAGACCCCTGGTAGCCTTCCCTCATTGGCTTTGCTGGTTTAAGACCAATTACTAGCAACTCTGTTCTTGTGCAGAAGTGACAGGAAGAAGAAACAGAGTCTCAACTGGAATGAGATTTAGCAAAAAAAATGAAGTGATTCTTCAACAACCCTCTGGCCTCCCTTTGCCCACCTCATCTGAGAAGAAGGGAAAGGAAGCAGTGCAGGGCCACTCTCGGGCCAGCAGCCGTGTCAGAGCACACTGGAAGGAGGAACCTGGCGTGAAGTGGTGTATGGGGCAGCATCAGAACACACTCTAACCTAGTGGCTCAGAGAGGCCAAGAGGAGTGCCTCAGTCCCTGGCCTGGGCCAGCTGCGGCTCCAGGCCAGGCTCACCATGAACAGGAGGGAGGGAGGTGGCAGGAGAAAACCCACTAGTCTGGCCATCCTCTCACCTTCTGGTTTGTTTTCTGCTTTGGCCTGGGGTTGGGCTCTGGCCTCCTGATTCAAGCTTTCCTCCTCCTTGTCCTTGGAGGGGCGGGCTGCAAATGAAAATGATACACATCTTATCTGGGACCATAGTGTCATCCCTGCCATGCCCTTTCAATTAGGATGGTCAGCTGAGCAGCCAGAGCAGCCAGTGGGTGGGAAAGGCTGGCCTGGAGGGTTGCAAGTCTAGATTCTGATCCTGCTAGAGTTCATGTTGCCCAATTCCCAAACTTTTGTCTTAAATTCTCTTCATTGTCACTAACTGGCTGTGACCTAGGGCAAGTCACTTTCCCTCTCAAAGCCTATTTCCTCTCCTATAAAATGGCATGATTGGACTTAAGAGCAAAAACTAGGATTTATTTCTTTTATGAGCTCTAGCGATGGTTGCTTGTATGAGCTCTAGCGATGGTTGCTTGTATGAGCTCTAGCGATGGTTGCTTGTATGAGCTCTAGCGATGGTT